CAGGCCTCTACATCCCCTGGAATTTCGCCCATGAATCCAAACGAAAAATCAATATACTAAAAAACCCTATAGACACAGCTTTGAGACTTTGTTTAACTGACTATATAGATGAATAAATCAACTTTATAAACCATTCCTTCATTCACACCAACAAATTTCAAATAACCATTGTCGAAAAATTTCCACACAATCACCAGAACAAAAACTTCAAAACGCAACTAATAAATACAACTGACTCTAATACACCAAACAACACCACAAAATTACACTGCAGTTTACCATTTACCCCTGACATCAGTTCAAAAATAATCAACACTTGGAGGAAACTTGCCATTAAACATGAAATTCCTGTTGACTTCAAATTCACCAAAAAACCCAGCACTAAAACTATAATTAATATTAAATAAGAATTACATAGAATCACACAATACAAACGTCATTTATAAAACAACATGCAGTAAATATCCAAAACTGTACATCGGAGAAACCGGAAGAAAATTGGAAACCATATTCACCAAACATCAATAAACACAGGATAAAGGAAGCTATTTTAATTGAACAAAACAGCCCCACCTTAAATCAACACTCCGGGGTACCTATACTAGGCTGTGAAGCAATATCCGGTTATGTAAACTACCTGTACCTAAGGATGACATAATCTTGTTGAAACGTTGTACATCTATAATTATAAAGGAGTGTGTACGACCACCATAGTTCCAAGAGGAAAGAACCTAGAGACCTTAAACTTTTCTCGCATACTAAGAGGATTCTGAGGGTATTATTTTGTAAATTTGACTAAAAAGTAATTTGGACTTTCTTTTTGCCCTACAGCCCTTAAGCCCCACAATTCTGCTTCCTGAAAGTGTATAGAAAAGTATAATATTTTTTCTAATTCTCATATACTGGATGAACAATATGAGGAAGTTTTCTGTCAAATACTCTTTTTGCTTGTTTGAAGTTAAGCACAAAGCTACACAATGGGCTATCTGTGCTCTGCCCGCCACGGGTATCGAAACCCCGATTCTAGCATTGTAAATCTGCAGACATACCGCTGTGCTACTGGGGGGCCCAAATACTATTTTCCAACACAAACATGGGAAGAAAAATGTAAGAAATAATAAAATCAAGTTGAATTGAACTAAGTTTGGGAAATGGCAACAAACAACGGGAAGAAAAATATGAATCAGAGAATACTAGGGAATTCGGAGAACGAAAATTATTCAAATATAAACACAGGAAGAAAAAAATTCATTTGAGAAGCTAAATTAAAACTAGTTGCTTTTAAAAAGGATTGAATTAAGTTCGGGAAATGGCAACAGACAAATCAATTAAAGAACTGGCGCACTGAGGTAGCTATAAAAGTAATTAAGATAATAGAGACGTTTGACTGGTGCATTGAGGCCTCTGTGAACCATGAGAGGACCTTAGAATCCCGCAGCGGATTGTGGGTATTTTATGCAAGTTTATAATAACGTTTTCTTCATTAAGTAGTCTCCAAACTTTTATTTCCGTGTATTTTTTTTCACTGTACAAACACGTGGATACCGAAACTACACAGCTCTTGTACAAACACGTGGATACACGAGACTACAGTCACTACACAGCTCGTACATGAAGAATAACAACGTGGCTCTTCAGAATGTACACATTATATGTGTCAGTTTCTCTGGATATACCACAACACATTACACATATAGCTACATACACCACTGGTGTTGTTATTTCAAAGTTTCTCTGAAGATACCATAACACATTACATAAATATCTACATACATCAATGATGTTGTTATTTCAAAGTTTCTCTGGAGATTCCATGGAATACCATTGCACATATATCTACATATATCTCTGATCACGGTATTCAGCGAAGCTTATGTTCAGTTCTGGTTACTTTGATTAAATTACCAACACACCATGTTTTTCCTATTGAGCGACCTCTGGAGGTGGAAAGATAATGCCTCTCGATTCTACTTTATCTTCTACTAAATTATCAACACACCATGTTTTTCCTATTGAGTGACCTCTGGGGGTGGACAGATAATGCCTTTGGATTCTACTTGAATTTCAATTAAATTATCAACATACTACGTTTCTCCTACTGAACGACCTCTAGAAGTGATATAAGTAATTATATTTGTCATAAGCAATTATGTTAGGCCTACTATGTTTTTTAACACAAAATTCTTAATCCAGTCACTTACGGATTTTCAAGAATTAAAAAAGTGAAATAATAATAGTATTTCAAGCACACTATAATCGTCATATCCATTGCTGACGACGCGTTTCGCTCAATCCAGAGCTCTTCATGCTGGCTATGATAGAAAAAACATTAGCAGTTGTCGGAACACTATTCATATAGCCATTTGACATAACAACTGTGTAATGTGTATACCTTTTACAAGATAGTGAAGAATGATTAAAACTGTATTTGTCATAGGATATTAGTAACAACAATATTTAACTACAGCACACTTCACGAGTCCATATAGTTACGTCGTGCGTCTACAACATATAACAAGCAACAGACGTAAGAGCGGCGTACCCTAAGATCAACAGCTTCTAGCGACTATTGTTTATATCTAATATTACACAAATTTTTACGTGAGAACAGCTAATATCCACTGCCACATAGATAATGTATGTTTTATTTTTAATTGACTAGTCACTCAATAGATGGCGCCACATTTCATATGTCTCGATCATCATTTCTGGCATTAAGATCATGTATTTCAGCACAACAGATGGCATCATTGTACTTATTATTTCGGTCACATAGATAGATATATAGACGGGCACGCCATTGTTCCATTATAGCAAGATTTTGGTTCTTTTAACACCTTGATTTCCATATATATATATATATATATGGATATGTCGACGAATTAGGTTTAATCTCCATCTAAGTAATTATCGAATACTAATTCCATAGTATTGTGGCTATTTCAGTTAAACAAACGGGGGTTATCTTCACTAGCAGTCTTCTAAGTTTCAGTGACAAACAGGAGAGACGGCAGCTAGTCAACATTGCCAATCCTTGGGCTACTCTTGTCATACCAAAATAACGGAATTTGACCGTTACTCTTATAACATTAAACGAAGAGCGAACCACATTCTGGTTTGCTAACCAGTTGGCCAGGTATCTTGCTAGATAAACAAATATTATTGTTGCGACACAAAAGCTATACATAACAACTTTGTCATTCATAATATAACTTCGATCGTGTTTTAGTGGAATGCTCATGGAGAAAAACATATTTGGTGTCGTTTATTACTAGTATTAAAATAACTTTGTTATTAAAAAAAAAACTAGATTTACTTTGGTGCACAGATCAAAAAACAGTTTTAATGTCCACAACCAACAACAGAAGACTTGCAACACTTCTGCTAATAAACCTGTAAAAGGAATTTTTATCAAGATTTTTTTTGCTAAATTTCTCTGGTTTAAACATTCAATTCAAATTTATAACTGTACTGTACTACTACTTTCTATAACTTTTGACCTAGAATTTCATTACTTTGCAATCTCAATGATGTGTCATAGAGACAAGCAAGCAACAAACCTCTTAATGATGTGTCACAGAGATAACTAAGTGACACACGAACATTTAATGATATGTCCCAGACAACAAAGTGGCACAAGATCCCTTAACAATGTACCAGAGAGACAGCCATGTGACACATAAACCTTAATATGTTAGAAAGATAAACAAGTGACTCAAGATCTCTTAATGATGCACATGTGACACATGAACCTTAATGGTGTGTGTGTCAGAGAGATAATAATGTGACACAAGATCCTTTAATGATGTACCACTGAGATAACCAAGTGGCACAAGACCTTTCACAATGTACAGACATACTATATGTTTTCTACCTGCTTTTAGTGGCATCGAAATTTCAAAATTATTTTATCTAGTTTCTCTCTAGTTTAAGCATAAGCACATGGCCCAGAAAACCTTTGAAGTTGCCTTGTTCTACTTGCTATCTTTTTTTTGTTCTATCTTTTTTTTCACAATATTAAAACTCAGTCAAGTTTTCAGATTCAGATTACTCCCACACTTCCTGGTAGACTCTGCTGTTATTAAGTGGATCTATCTAATGAATGTGAAGAAATATCACACCTTTAATGTTATGTCACAAAGATAATCAAGTAACAGATGACCTATTAATGATATGTTAGAAAGATAACAAGGTAACATGTGCCCTTTTAACAATATTCTAGAAAGATAACCAGGTAACATGTGCCCTTTTAACAATATTCTAGAAAGATAACCAGGTAACATGTGCCCTTTTAACAATATTTTAGAAAGATAACCAGGTAACATGTGCCCTTTTAACAATATTTTAGAAAGATAACCAAGTAACATGTACCCTTTTAACAATATTTTAGAAAGATAACCAGGTAACATGTGACCTTTTAACAATATTTTAGAAAGATAACCAGGTAACATGTGACCTTTTAACAATAAGTTAGAAAGATAACCAGGTAACACGTGCTCTTTTAACAATATTTTAGAAAGATAACCAGGTAACATGTGACCTTTTAACAATAAGTTAGAAAGATAACCAGGTAACACGTGCTCTTTTAACAATATTTTAGAAAGATAACCAGGTAACACGTGCTCTTTTAACAATATTTTAGAAAGATAACCAGGTAACATGTGACCTTTTAACAATAAGTTAGAAAGATAACCAGGTAAAACATAACCTTTTAACAATAAGTTAGAAAGATAACCAGGTAACACATTACCTTTAATGAAATGTCAGAAAAACAGTCAAGTAATATATTACAGCCAAAAGTTCAGTGCTGTGACCTATTAAAATCATAAAACATTTTGTTGTCTTTTCTGTTCTTTATTATAAACTGTTACTCAATAATTAGAAATTTGTACCTGTCATAATGTAAACTGTATATTTTAAAATCCCTGTTCAAACTTTTACAGAACAGTATTTACTGCATATATTTCATCAAAGCACTAATTCTTTTAACAACATTTTACCTGTGCAGTATCTTCAGCCTCTGGAACAACTTCAATAGCATTCAAGTTGTGCTCAAGCTTCAGAACAGCCGTTTCCGCTCGGTAATAGACCTCAGCATAAATCTCCCACTGGTTGAGAACATCAGTAAGAGTGGACAACTGACCCTCTAGCTGACAGAGGATGTTTTGCCATTTCTGGTTTATACCAGCAACCTGTTTATCAATTAGTTTGCGACTGGATGGTGAGGCACGATGATCTAGACCTCTAGCCTTCACATTAACATCACTAATCAGCTCTTGGTTACTCTGTAGATTACTCAACAGGCTGCTGATGCTTTGTAAGCTCGTTCTTATTGCAGCCATGGTAACAGGTTTCTCATCAACAATCTGAAGAGAAGTAAGTAGACTGTTCACCTTGTCTAGAAGTTGGTTGTACTCTAGCCAGTCCTGAGCATCTTTCTCAAGAGCATCTATAGCTTTGTCTGCTCTTGTCTGTAGGTCATCTAACTGCTGACTAACAGATCTAAGATCTTGAGTCATATGTTCTACTTGGTCCTTCTTTAAAAATGGTTGAATTTTTAAAGAAAGGGAATTTAATGTGTCCTTTTGAATTTCCCAATGACTAATTTCAGAAAAGAATTTCTGAAAGAAAAAGAAAATTTCATAGATAATGTTTAGATATGTCTTGGAACTTTCAGTAAATATATTATGACTCAATAAATAACAAAACCGGATTAATAAAAAAGGTATTTAGATGAACATCCAAGTGAAATTACAGTCTGTCTTTTATCCTCCCAATGGCACAGCAGTATGTCTGCAGAGTTATACCACTAGATACCGGGTTTAGATGAACATCCAAATGAAATTACAGTCTGTGGCACAGCAGTATGTCTGCAGAGTTATACCACTAGATACCGGGTTTAGATGAACATCCAAATGAAATTATAGTCTGTGGCACACCAGTATGTCTGCAGTGTTATACCACTATATACCGGGTTTAGATGAACATGGAAGTGAAATTATAGTCTATCTTTTAGCCCCCCAGTGGCACACCAGTATGTCTGCAGAGTTATACCACTAGATACCGGGTTTAGTCGAACATCCAAGTGTTGATGTTTAGTGATGTTATTCACATCAAATGTATATAACTTCAGTTATTTTAACTTGATGTTTAATGATGTTACTCACATCAAGTATATATAACTTATTTCATATTAATGTTTAGTGATGTTATGCACATCAAATGTATATAACTTTAGTTATTTTATATTGATGTTACTCACATCAAGTATATATAACTTATTTTATATTCATGTTTAGTGATGTTACATCAAGTATATATAGCTTTAGTTATTATATATTGATGTTACTCACATCAAGTATATACAACTTATTTTATATTCATGTTTAATGATCTTACATCAAGGATATATAACTTATTTTATATTCATGTTTAGTGATGTTACTCACATCAAGTATATATAACTTCAGTTATTATATATTGATGTTAAGGAATTTTACTCAAATACATACAATTTCAATGCATATTGAGCAATGTTACTCATAAAAACTTAGTAGAAACTAAAATATATTGCATTAGTTACAAGCAGAATCCAATTTGACTCACCTTCACTTCTTCCAGCTTTTTCTTTATATTTTCAAAATCAACTCCATTTTCTGCAGACTGGAGAAGTTTATCTCCACTGTGAAGCCAACAACAAAGTTTATCTTTGGCTTCATGAAACTCTTTAAGTTGGTTTAAAGCAGATTTCAACCACGATTCTCTTTCTTGGAGTTCTCTCGGTAGAGTGTTCTGAAGCAGACTCACTTCGCTTATGTTTTCTTGTAAGAATTCTGGCATCGTATCTGATGTGAGTTCCTCCACTATACTTGTTTTCAATTGTTCAGCTGACTTCAGATGAAGGTGTACATCATCTGATAGTTCCTGTAAATAATCAACGAATTATTTTACATTTAATGCTAATGGAAATATTATAGTTTGTAACCATGCTTCTACTGTTAATCTGAGAATGTTGCAACAGTAGGATTTAACTAGTGACAGAGAGAAGCAAGTGTTCTCTCCATGTATCTGAAGTCTCCTCCATAAGAACTTCAGTCAACAAACTTATCTGAATAGTTTGAGAATGAATGGGTATCCAGATTTTGCTGAACTCTATGCTAGATTGACTGAGGATGTTATCAGTTAGTTGAATGTAGAAAGTTTCTGTGTGCTCCATTATTTTAGTATTATCACTTGGTCTTCTTTCCTGACATTAGGAGTTACTACAGACAGATCAGTATTAGATGTATATTATATATATATTAAGAGTTACTACAGACAGATCAGTATTACATGCATATATATATATATATATATATATATGTGTACATTAGGTATTTACGACAGACAGATCAGTAGTAGATGTATATCATATATATATATATATATGTATGAGTTACTACAGACAGATCAGTGTTACATATATATATATTATATTGTTACGTATCTACTTGTTTATTTATTTCCGGTACAAATTCTTTCCGTGGATCTCCAGCGATACGAGTCCTTTCTGGATTAAACCAGTTTATTCTTCCTCGATACAAACTTTTAGTACACAGTAATTCCACGGTCAGTACGTTTCTCGTCACTTTAAACTTAACAACTTCTATAATACACGCTATAAATCACAGTGATTCACAATCTATATAACTTTGCTCTCGACAAGTGTAAAACACACTTCATGGCTCACTAGCTCGAAACTAACAGAATCCTAAATTACACGGAACTCAAA